TTCATGAGGGAGGGGAGAAGTGGGAGGGAGGGGAAAAATGAGGAGCTGATGCCAGGGGCTTAGGTGGAGAGCAAATGTTTTGAGAATGACGAGGGCAATGAATGTACAAATGTGCCTTACACAATTGATGTATGTATGGATTGTGGTCAGAGTTGTATGAGCCCCTAATAAAACGATTTTTTAAAAAAACAGTCTCAGATATGAGGGAAAACAGGACTAAATTTTCTTATGATTCACGATCCTCCTAGTTGTGACCTTATTTTCTTTTTTCTTTTAATTTTGATCTGGCAAAATTCTTCTGTTCAAATACACCCAAAACTAAATCCAACCCCCACCCCCACCCCACTGCTAAAGAGCAGATTTCAACTCATGGGGGACCTATAGAACTGAACCCCATATTGTTTTCAAAGGCTGTAAATCCTTTTGGAAGCAAACTGCCACATCTTTCTCCCCATAGTGGCCAGTGGATTTGAACTACTGACCTTTAGGCAACAGATGGGCAATTTAACCACTATTACCACCCGGGCTCCTCTCTTAAAACTATCCAACGCTATTAAGTTGACTGGGACTGCTATTAAGTTGACTGGGACTCACAGGGGAGGGTTTCCGTGGCTGTCAATCTTTAGGGAGCAAATAGCTTCATCTTTAGGAGAAAGGGTTTTTTGTTTTTTTTATCTAAACCAAGTTTGGAAACACCAATCTTTGTAATTAGCAGCCCAACGCTTCCCAACAGGGCTCTTTTATCTGAAACTACTCAAAACCAAAAACAATGCTTTTGATTTGACTCAGAGACCCTTTAACAGTGTAGAAGTGCTCCTGTGGGTTTTAGAGACTGACAGGGAGCCACCATTTAAACCAACCACCACCACCCGTAAAAAAGCCCCTGCCATCCAGCCAATTGTGAATCAAAACAACCCAACAAGACAGGTAGAACTGCCCCGTGTGGATTTTTGAGACTGTAAACCTTAAAGAGAGTGAAAAGCCTCATCTTTTTCTGGGAGCAGCTGGTGGTTCCAAACTGCTGACCTTTCAGTGAGCAGCCAAATGTGTAACCCGTTACACCACCAGGTCTACTCCATCTAAAATAAGTGGGATCTCAATGCCAAGATTCACCTTCTTCTAGGCATTTCCCAGTAACACACACAGTGAAGTGCGTTGACACTTGTCATAAAGCAACACACAGTAAAGAATGAGCCTTTTAAAGGACGACTACTTAATAGACCTATTAAACCTTTTCTAAGATTATCCCTGCACTTGAGAGGCACCTGGGAATCTGCAGCAAATACACAGGGGTTTCGTTTTGGGCTTTGTTTACAGCAACCCAGTTAAACAGTGGTTGGTGTTTAACCATTTTGTGCTTTGAGGAGCACGGAGATTAACTGAAAGCATTTTCACAAAATCTACAGATACATTAATGTAAAAACAAACAACAACAACCACAAAA